AGTTGCCCAGGCTAGGCTTACACCTGAGATCCTCCTGCCTCGGGCAACAAGAGTGCTAGGATAGCAGTCATGTGCCACCAGGCCCAGCTTATTTCTACCTTAAATATTACCTCTGGGCTGATGAAAGCAAGCCAGGTCAATATATTGAATCTTTAAGACAAAAACAAGCAAAATCAAGGAGCTATTCTTCAACTCATAAGTAACATTTATGCAAAGGTCCAGAGGCTTGTGTAGACCTCCTCACCCCAGCCCGGCTCCCCTCCAATTCAAGACCAAGAGCGGACAAAATCAGATGCTTAACAAAGCCATTGAATCTGACCCAACATCAGAGTTTCTAGAAAGGAAGTCTAGTATTCAAAGGAAAAGACTTAATTCCCGCTTGGCCCATCAGCAGTTCTCCAAAGAGTCCAGACAGTTGGCATGAGACGGAACTGTGTGCTCAGCGAGCTGTCACTGCCTCTGCAGCTCGGTCTACAGAAAACCCCTCACTTGTGCCTCGTGGGCATTTTTGTCTCTCGCAATCTCAAGATGACACTGGGATAGTAGCAGAAATGTGAACAGGTGCACCTATTAAATATGTAAAATTCGCATTCTCTTCCACTTGCTCACAAGTTGTATTTCTAAGGGGTGTAGAAAGTCACCTAATAAAAAGACAGACAGGTAGGAGGAAAAAAAATGTGCATTTTTTTAGCACACAAGAATGCAAGTGGACTCCACACAACAGCTTTTTACCGAAAATAAATGCAAGCCAATTAAAAATTCAGTTTCTTTTCTTTCAGCTAATTCCTCAGGTTTTGCTAATTAGCAACTAATAGTTCTGTCATTTGAGCTAGGAAACATAAGGAAGAATACCAGCAGTGTGTTTTCAATCAAAGCATTTGCATGAAGGCATGAATCACATTTTCCATGAAGAATTACTGCTTGGGAGCAGTTGGGGCAGAGGCAAAAAACAGTCTTCACACTGCTATAAAACTGTAAAAGGAACCTGGGCTTTGGGAACAGCAAGCATCCTTTCCCCACCCCCAACCAGATCAGTGGAGGCCTTGAACGACAGGACTAGGTAATGCAAGAAGCTTCACATTAAGATTCCTGCAGGGACAGCTTGAAAATTAGACTCTTCACAGTAAGAGGGAAGACAGTGAAACACATGTTTTCTGTAAACGAGAAAAGAATAAAAGTTAAGTGTCGGACAGGGTATAGGAATGCTTGAACTATTATGTTACCTGCCTTTGCAAGTTTATAAATCAATAAAAAAAATGCATAGCAGGAACTGAAAGCGAGGAGTAACGGTGGTTTAAAATATCTGGCTACAAATGGAGCAGGTATGGAAAATTCTAGTAAGAGTTCTTTGGTCAGGAGATGAGGGCTCTCTCTGTCCCTGACTGCAAGACAAGTGCATGAGACCCCAAGTCCAGCCCTGACAGGGGTCCTACAGCCCCGAGACTGTCAGCACCACCCCAGGTCTGAGCCACGCTGCTGGCTCCTCTGCTCCCTTGCCTTGATATACAACCCGTCCCCACACGCGACCCTTCGTGTGCGAACATCCCCACACCCCCTTCCAGGACTTTATTCTGAACATATGTGGTGGATGTTTGAAGTGCCCGCTATCCCTTGGTTTTCTTCTTTTTTTCCTTTATTTTAAAATCAAAACCACAAAACCTAACATGCATTGAATTCTGCCTAACTACAATTTGTAAAGATGCAACACTGCATACCCAAGTATAATAAAATCTTGTGTAATAAAAGTCTTACAGATGTCCTTCTGAAGGAGGAAAAAAGCAGGGAGAGGGACTTTTTTCTCTCTTTTCCGGTCTTACAGGAAGCCTACCCACACTTTAGAAATACAAAGTTAGTATAGATAGAAGCACAAATTAGGCATCTTGAAAAGCCTACATTTTCCAACCACAGAGAAATGCAGGAATCATTGCGTGTGCTCCTGGAGCCAGGGACATGGGGTGAGAGCACTCTCCTCTCTAGCTGAGCTGGCAAACAGCTGCATGAAAGAAAACCGCCCACTATGATGTGCCTGGGCCTCGGGTGGCTGAAGGTCTGTGGGGCGCGTGCGCTATGGTCCGCCCCGCACACCAGGACAAATCTGACCAGAACTTTACAACTGATCCACAGAGGGTACTTTTCAAACACACACAGACAAAAAAAAAAATTGAGGAAATTGATCACCTTCAGCTCACATCAGTCATTAGCTTCCTTTAGTTAATTAAATCTGTATGAGGTAAGTAGATTTTATCACCAAGTACCTAAAAAAAGAAAATGTTTGCAATACCAATACAAGACTAAACAACTCTTTGTAGAAGTTATAACCTATAAAAACAGAAATCAAGTCATATCCTATCTGAACCCAAAGGCTTATTAGCTTCAGAGAGCAATACATTGATTGATATGAGTAAGTAATACCGCATCTTTCTGTTTTTCTGTATTTATCGCATTTGCATTTGTTGCATAAAACACTTTCTAGTAAGTATTTAAAACACAAAACTTCAACACATATAAAAGCTCTCGACTGTTTTTCCTTACAAACTAGACAGCAATCTTAATCGGCCTAGTGCAGTTCAATGAGGATTATATGTGGAAAAGTCAGAGGCAGAATCTTAACAACCCCAATCGTACTGCAGGCTTCGTTTGCACTGTCCCAAATCACACAAGAATGCGAACGACACGTCTTCAGGGGACAGGAAACGATTCTTAGAGCAGCCAGCACACTCAGTGAAGGTCACACAGGTAGCAAGTGAAAAACTGGAACCCAAATCCAAATTCCCTGCATCCTGAGCCAATCTGCCGTGCTGTGCGGGACTCCTTATTCCTGTTATCCGCTTAATGATCCAGTTTAGTTAAGTCAGTTTAGGAAGTATGTTGAGATAGTGGGTCAAAATCACACTGTCCATTTGGTTATAGACAGCTGACCTTGTGTATAAGTTAATACATGATTTTAGGACTGATTTGAACAATGTACTGGGGAAAACTGAAGCACGACCATTAAAGGGTGCTGTGTCCACGAAACTGAGGTAAGTAAACGAATTCAGGTCCTTCTACATGAGCTCTCCAGTGCCCAGTATTAGTTGATATCCACTAGAAGCCTAAGAGGTGGTTTCCAGCAGACCGCTGATATACTTGACCATTGTACACTTGTGCTCAGAGTCTATCAGAGGAGGCCATGCCAGGAGGAGAAAGAGCCCCTCCAGTGATCAGTGGAGGCCTGAGCCAGAAACCGTTAAAACCAATGAACCAAGATCAGGCTGCCAATTGCATGAGCAGAGAAAGTTAACGGTTCTCTGCCCACTACCTGCAGCCAAAAGAGATACGCTCATCAACTGTCCTGACTAATTAAATACCTCACTAATTAGTGGGCATCTGGAAAAGCAAACAAAACATCAATATGCGATGGGAAAAGTTTGTGTCCACACAGAAGGGCAGAAACAATACAGAGAGCTTGCGGCCAAGCAGCTAGACTTCATTAGAAAGAAAAAAGTACATGTGCTAGCAGGGTACATAAATACAGGTAGGAGGAGAGTGTGAAGTCCTGATTCTAAAAGAGGCTCACAAATAAAAATACAATCTGGAAGATTTCAGAATGTGCTCAGAGAAAAAGCGAACCAGCACTATTTTAAGTATCTTCATTCCTAACAGAAAAAAAAAAAAAAAGAACAAAACACAACACAACAAAACAAAAAACTTAAATAAAGAAGAGTCTGTGACCCGGACGTCACTCCTTACTTCTGTAGCTATAGAAACCACCGCTGCAGCAATAAGAATGACAAACACTTTTCAAATAGAGAAGCACTAGCCTCTTTTAAAATACCTCGGCAGAAGCCACGGGCCTTTGCCTCCATACTTCTGACCACTTCTTTAGAAAACACCCTTGCCACTTAAAACCTAATCGCGTTTGTCTCAGCAGTATAATGTGGCAGGGGAAAAGGTAGGTGCTGAGACTCCAGGTTGCTGCAAGGCCCTTTGATCTGATGGGTGCGCATTCCCCTTCACTGCAAGTCAACTAATGAAGGGATGAAATTAGCTTTCATCCTGGGCACTTTTCTTGAGAAAAAAAGAAAAAACATACACTAATCAGCCATCCTCACTAATCAGTCATCATCTGGCTAATGACCTTTTGCCTTAAAACACTAAAATTTCTGAATGATGTGGAAAAAGGGAAACGCAAACCAGTCCCCCTCTCTAGAGCTCAATGGATCATCTGGGACTGGAGCCGCGAAGGTTAAATGGCAAGTCTGAATCCCAGCAAGGTGATAAATCTGTAATTAAGGGCTGTGCGCTTTGGCACTTCAATACGAACTTCATTATACCACCCCCAAATCGTATTTTTTTTTAAAAAATGAGAAACAGGCCAGAAATAAGCTGAGCCTTTATATATTTTTCTTTGTGTCCTTCCTTTGGAGAAAACTACTGCATACTTGTGTTCAGAGTCCTGGCCAATAGGTCTGGAAAAGGAGCTTCCAAAATCTCTGGTGAGAGAAAGAGTGTGGGTCAGAAAAAAAAAATATTCCATGCTAATAAATTTAGCACTAACTTGCTAAAAGAGTTTGTTTTAACAAACCATTAAACACAGGAATAGCCAAAATCTTTAAATTGAAAATCATTAAAAATGAAAACAGTAGTAATTAAAGACTTTTAATGCAGCTTGCTTTAATAACTTCCCCCACCAAGCCATTTTTCTCCTGCAGCATTTCCTTGCATGGAGCCAATCTGGTTTGGGTTCTCAGGAAAAGTCCATGTTACATTTGCCAGGAATAGGCCAGCTTCCAGAAGGCCACCCCTAAAAAGGGCTGAGATGGCTTAGGCAGGTAAGATGCCTCTCTCTAAAAGAGGAAGGGTCAAGGATTAACAAGTAGGAAAAAAGTAGAAGGTATTTTTATAAGTTATGCAAGGCCAATAATTCATGGAGCACATCTATGTATACACACACACACACACACACACACACACACACACACCCCTCATGGCCTTCCTTCCCCATGGCAAGAAGCACTTACGGTAGTGAGGCTCCATGTAGCCGTTCCTGGGGTCCATGGCAAACACGGTCCCGCGGTAAGGAACGGAAGGCTCCGCCAGGTGCGGGAGGGACCCATGGACCTCCTTCTTGATCAGAGAGGCCCTCTCGTCGCTGGACGTCGAAGGCTCCTCGCTGATTTTGCTGAGCCCCTGCACACTCTGTGGCTGCATTGTGATTGCGTTTCTTCTCTCTCGGTGATAGATCTGTCCAGGACTTTCATCCTCTAAAGAAAGGAGAAGAATGAAAGATTCCAGAAGCCACATTAAGGAGCAATAAAAAAAAAAAAAAAAAGTCATCAGTTCAATCTCTCCCTCTGTTGCTGTTACCACAGAGAAGCCTCTTTCCCCTTCCTGGCAACTGTGCAGGCTACACACCTTGACTGGCTATCTGTAAGACAAAACTGCCTACGAATGAGGGTCCAAAATACACAGGGAGGGCTGAAGGTGGACAACCCCTTTTCAGGCTCACAGCTGACCCTGCCAAGGAAGTTTTCCACATGGACATGCCAATATCCCACAGGTCCCAAGGGGGGCTGAAAGCATTTCCAGCCTCAGTCCATGGGCACCCAGCTGCCCTTTGTCCGCCTTGAGGAAAAAGCATCTCTGGGATGATGGTAAGTCCAGTTGCCCAGTAGAGCTGTTGGTGGCACTAGGGTTACCCAGCCCTTGTTCCTCAGAGAATGACCTATTAGAAGTAAAGAAGAGTGTCGAAGGCTTTTTTTTTTTTTTTTTTTTTTTTTTTTTTTTTTTTTGTCATCTTTATAACTCAGAGAGAAACCTAACAGCAGCGTGAGAAGTAAAGCTGAAAGCCCATTGGTAT